TTATTTCCCTGTCTTGTAAGATTCTCTGATAAGTTACTGAATTCTGTGTTTTCTTAAAAATCAAAACAAAACAAGTGGATTTTCAGTAGATTATTTGTGGAGTACCTGCCACCCCTGACAATATGTTGGTTAGGTTGTTTTCTTGTTTGTAGACTGGGACACATTGTGTAACCCAGACTGGCTTCTAAGTTACAATCCTCCTTTCTCAACCTCCCTAGCACTGAAATTACAGGCACGTGTTACCATGCTCAGCTTCAGTGTATTTTCTTGAGTTCATTAAGTTTCCATAGAACATGGGGCTGGTGAGACGTTCATTCTCAGCACCCATATGGCAGCTAACAACCATCTGCAACTCCAGTTCCAGGGGATCTGAAGCCCTCTTCTGGCCTCTTCAGGCATTACATGTATGTTGTGCACTTTCATACATGCAAGCAAAACACTTATACTCATTTTTTTTTTGGTCTTTTTTTTTTTGAGACAAAGTCTCCCTGTAGGCCCCGCTGGCCTGGAGCTATGTAAGACCTCAAACTTACAGAGATCCACCTGCTTCCCAAGCACTGGGACTAAAGGCATGTGCCACCATGCCCAGCACACATAATTTTTTTGTTTCCATAAAACAACTATTTTCAATTCGTATCTGGAAAGGCACACATATCAACTCATGGTCACCTTCTGGCATTTTACTCTAATGTCGATGAGATCTTAGGTTCCTGAAAGTTCTTAATGCTTCCTGGCATCTAACAACATTCAGCCATTGAAGTATTGAACATTTACTCCAGTCTTTATAACTTGGCTTTATTGGTGCCTGCCTAGCCTTCCAAAGCTTCTAAATCGACTGTTTATTATGTTCTCTGAGCCTGTGACCACTGCTACCATTTCAGCACTAGCTAACACTCATCCCCAGTTTGCCTAAGTCCATAGTGGGTTGCCACTGCTTTAGCAAGAGAGGGACGGTGTCCCTAGCCTAAATCTGTTGCTAGTCTGCAGTTGGTATCTAGTACATTACAGACTGGGGAAGTGCCTAGAAAAAAAAAATAATCCAACCTCAATGCATTGGAGAGCCTCCAGCTGAGATCAGAGTGAACCCAAACACCTTATCTATATTCTAGCCTGTGGTCTAGCACAAAAGGATTCTACTCAGTGCTGGGCCTTATCATAAAGGATCCTGCTCTAGTGGACAAGTTCTGGGCCACATCTGGAGCCCATGGCTTACAGACACCAGAGTGTCCCTGAGGCAAAACCAAGGTCTGTGCTGCTATGGCCTGCCTGGTGCTGTGTTCTATCCTTGGCTTGACACCACTGTGACCAGCCATGAGTGATGCTAGTTGGAAGGCAAGTCCACCTTATATAGGCTACAAGTTTCTACCCAGTGCTGTCCTTGAGCACCTGCCTAGGAGAAAGATGTACAGAGTTTTTCTCACTTTGGATTTTACTTTGGCAGCCCCGGCCTCAAGCTTCAAGCCAATGCCTATTTCTTGGCCATAAACACTTGCAGATGGAATCTTTCTTTGAACTATGTTGCCTGAGGTTAAGGGAGGAATGTTGGAGGCAATTCCTAGACACCAACCTCATGCTAAATTGTGTCACACCTGAAGCTCACAATCTCAAGAATAGGTGTAGTCCTGACTCATGCCACAGTTAGCATTTGTAGATGTGAGAACCCAAGTCCATTTTACTGAGATTAAGGAATGCTGGCATGGATCCAGACTGTCTGTGAACACTAGCCTCAGAGCAAGGGCTATGGGGGTCTACTCTACTCAGTACTGTTTCACCATAGTGAGCTTGGTACTGGGTTTTAAGTCTAAGGCCTGAACTTAATTTCCCTTCCTTCCCCCAAGAGGAAGCATCTCTCTCCAGACTTCTTTGATTCTTAGATTTGGTAGAGGGGTGACACAGCACTTCCCTCCAACTTTCTTGAATAGTTCTTTTCATTATTACACTAAAACCAGGTACTGTCATCTCTCATCTAGTTTCCTTGACTCTTGTGAAGGTAATTTCATGTGTCAATAGCTCAAACTGATGTTTCTTTTATTATTATTATTTTATGAGTGTTATACCTGCATGTAAGTGCACCCTCATGCAGTACCCACGGAGGACAGAAGAGGGAGTCAGATACCCTGGTACTGGAGTTATGGATTGTTGTTAGCTGCCATGTGGTGCTAGGATTCAAACCTGGGTCTTCTGCAAGAATAGCCAGTGCTCTTAACCACTGAGCCATCTCTCCAACCCCCTCAAATTGATGTTTATATGGACAAATAATTACTGCCCCTTTCATATTTTCATATATATTTGATCTTTTTGAAACAGGGTCTCGCTGTAGCCCCAGCTGGCCTAGAACTTACTATGTAAACCATGCTGGCCTTGATCTCACAGAGATCTGCCAGCCTCTGCCTCCCAAGTATTGGGATTTACCTTTCACTGTATTTTTGTAGCTAATCCAATATTTGTTTGAAGTAATTTTTTTTTTTCTTGAAGAAAACCGAACTCAAACACTTTCTAAAACTATTCATCTCTGGACTTGGGCTTTCTGATAGATTTTGTTTTGTTTTGTCTTTGTTCTGTTCTGCTTCAGGACTGAAGGGCTCCCTCCAGAGGCTGCAGTTGGAGTATGTGGACGTGGTCTTTGCAAATCGTCCAGACAGCAACACCCCCATGGAAGGTGAGTGAAGAAATTTAATAAAACACTATAGACTTTTTCTACTCACCGTAAGTAATGATATATATTCAAACTGATGTGACTGAATACAGAGAGGTTTTTATTACCCTTCTGATGCTTTGTAACCTCAGTATTTTCCCTGAAAGTCAATACAACTGCTACTTTCCTCCTCCTCCCCTTCCTGTTCTATAATGACTCGAAGTCTGATTAGTTTCCAGTCCTCAACAATAAATGCTAAGTGTGCTGTGAACAGAGACTTGACAAGAAAAAGCATTCTTCTCTGAAGTTTGGTTGTTGATCCTCAAGGAGCTGTGCCATTATTGCCTTCCATTACAACTGTTAGACCATAGTTTAATCTCCCTGTAGGACATGTCTAAAACCAGATTTTCTTTGACTTAAATTTGTTTGCCAATCCTACTTGGGATGATTGAGAAATAAAATGGTTTTGGAAGACAAAATGGAAAAGAATGTTCCAGTTAGGTGAAATTTACAATCGTGTGGATTATAACTTATCCAAGGCAACTGAGAATGGAGATATTGGAAAAAGAAAAAGCAATGTTTTGTTATTTGTGTTTTACGATATTTGGATTATCAATTTTCTAAAAATTATAATAGTATAATCCCCATAAGATTACAACGAAGGTAATTTTGCCTTTGATGATTCAAAAAGCTCTCAAGGATTCTGTAATAAATTGAGTTCTGTGGAGATTTAGTCTTGCTACTGGGATATAGAAATTGTACAAAATATAAATGATTAAAGTACATATGAAATTTTCTAGGTTCCATTTCTGACCACAAAAAAAAATTTTGTGGAAACTATTTCTTTTCTATTTTTCTTTCACAATCATAGAGGAACTTTACATGCATACATATAAGAACACACATATTATCATACATATGTATGTGTATATATGTCTTCATCAAAACAGATTGTTTAATGAAGCAAATCATAAACACTAAAATTAGAAGTACTTATTGTAATGATAATATATTGTCACACAATTCTCAAAAACACATTAAAACAGAGCACTAAAGCCATTTAATCAGCAAAAATATCAAATAAAAGGTAGTTGATTCAGGATCCACTGTAATTGTTTCACATTTTAATTGCCTAGTGACTATTTTCCTTTTTGGAAAAGTATTATTTACAATTATACCATATACATATGTAATGGCTAGCAAGATGTCTGAGATCTTTTCACCCATCCTACTCTACCTTTAATTTTATGAATATATTATAGTTCCAAACAGGAAATGTATATTGCATTATACCTATAAAAGGAGAGATATACTATAAGGGGCTCTCAAATGAAAACCATAGTTGTATTATGTATAAAGAACAAGGAGGAAATTCTTAATATATGTGATACTAACAAGTGTCATACCCCAAGTATGTATTGAAATTTAGTCTAAAGAAGTCTCAAAGTATCATGTGTGTATTTCTAAGGCACATTTTAAGCAACTTCTACTTAAATTTGATTAAAATGCTATCCCTGGGGCTGCAGAGATGGCTCAGAGGTTAAGAATACTGGCTGTTCTTACAGAAGACCCGGGTTTGAATCCCAGCACCCACATGGCAGCTAACAACTGTCAGTAACTCCAGTCCCAGGGGATCCAACAGCCTCTTCTGTCCTCCATGGGCATTGCACGACATGGGCGCACTTACCTACATGCAGGCAATATACACATACACATAAAAATAATAAATAAAATATTTTTAAAATAATAAGTAAATAAAAATAAAATGCTTATCCCCGTTTATGTGATTCATGCCATAAAACAATGTTAATTGGGAGCATTTCTAAAATAAACCGAGATGAAGTCCAGCCAATTTCTACACATTCTATAGCAAGTAGGTTAGCCATAAAAAGATTAGTTGTCACATCTTCTTTACAATATATCGGCATCACATTTCGAGTTCGTCCTTGCCACCCACACCTCCTCCCAGTCTTGCCAAAAATCAATAGGCAAAAAGTAAATTCTATCAAAAGAATGACTGTGGATCCCAAATGTACGACCAGTGAAGAAAGCGGGAAGACACTTCATTTGCAATCTGCACCCTAATGGATACAATTCGGCATTCTGTGGCAATGGGAAGATGTTTGTGACAGCAGAGGGGAGCGTGTGTGCTTTTACTCTGTCCTTCTCCTTATTTTTCATGGCTCACCCCGTAGTCAGTCATCTTCCTTCCACAGCATCTGCCATGCCATCTGCCTCTGCTATACTATCTGGCAATGATGGCATGTTTTCCAGTCCTAGAAAAAATTTATCCCCGCATTCCATGTCTTCTCTCTTATGACAATGCATCCTTCCTAATAGAATCTCTAACAGTTCCTCATGCTCTATGAAGCTCAAATTGTCAATTTTCTCACTTTCATAAATCAGTGTGTAGTTCAAGTTCTTCTCTTAAGTGCACCATAGGAGAAGGTTCAAGGCAACTTAAATCACGCTAGACATCGATAGACAGCATCGTGTCCCTGAGGACCCATACTAGGAGGGTTTTGATTAGTTTTTTTGCTGTTGCCCATTGCAGGCTAATTGTGCTCCAGGGAGAAAGTGAACAGCACTATAGTCATGAAAGGAACATAGTGAAGACAACTTGGAAAATGACAGAAAGCAGAAAGCAGTTCAGCATCCCTAACTATCAACATTTGACCTGTTCCAGAGTTCTGAAACATGTATTTATCTTCCAAAGTAAATTTTCACAGCAAAAAGTATAATCGCCTAAGATTTACATCTATCATATAGCCACAACCGATCTGCCTTTATCTTCCATTACCTTCCCTGAAAGTCACCCCTAACTTGTCCCTCCAAAACAAAATAATAACAGGAAGAAATCTGGAGGCAATATAGCAGTGTTTGCCAAGAGAAATAGAGTCAAGACATATATACAGTTCAAATTCTTCATTAATTATGTTTTTAAAAGTACAAAGAGATCGATGGGATTAATTGTAATATTATTTTAACTCTATATGTGAAATACCACTTCAACCTGTAATCATTACAAAATTATTAATATGATACTTTATTTTTTCATACTACATTTTTGAAATCTACAGTACACACCATAATTTGGACTTGTACATTTCAAATGCTCATTAGCTATATGTGGGAAAAGCTCCTGCATTTTATCACATAGGTCAAAAACTTCCCATTCTAACAGAGGCCTGAGGTGTTAGTTGCTTGTGTGTTGCTCTAACACACTACCTGGCAGAAGAAGCAACCTAAGGAAAGAAAATCTCTTTCTGCTCATAGCTTCAGAGAGATTCAAGTCCCTCATAGTAGAGAAACCTTTAGAGCGACAAGCCTGTGACAGAGGCCCCTTACATTTCTACATACCAGGAACACACCACCCTGGGGACCAGGGTATAACTTTCAAAGACCTGCCCCAAGTGACCAACTTCTACTAGCCAGACCCAGCCTCCTAAAGGTTCCACTCCCCACGCCCCCAAATAGTGCCACCAGCTGGCCACGAATGTTCAAAATATGAGCCTGTGGGAAATAGTTCAGATTCAAACCAAAATATTCTACCTCTGACTCCCCAGATTTCATGGTCATCTCATAATGCAAAAATATTAGGCCAACTTCAAGAGTACCAAAAATCTGAACAGTCTCAACCGTGTTATACAAGCCCCAAGTTCCGAGACACGAGGTAGTCTTTCATCTGTGAGCCCTTGTAAAATCAAAAAGAAAGTGGCATACTTCCAATATACAATGGCACAAAGTAAGCAGTCCCATGACCAAAAAGGAGATGAAAATAAGGAAAGATTGGGCCAGAGCAAGACCAAAAGCCATGAGGAAAAACATTAAATCCTGTAGTCCCATGTCCAGCACCTGGGATATGTGACCTCATATAAGCTCTAGGGCACTTACGCAGCCCTACCTCTATGGATCTACTGCCTGGAACAACCACAGCCTCCTCTTCATCTGGGTTCACTCACTGACTACAAGTTTCCTCAGCAGACACTGCACATTCCCAACATCTCTAACATCTTTTTTATATTTTATTATTTTTATTTTATGTGTATGAGTGTATTGCCTGCATATATGTAAGTGCACCCATGTCATGCAATGTCCACAGAGGTCAGAAGAGGGCAACGGATCCCCTGGACCTGGAGTTATGGACAGTTCCTAGCCACCATGTGGGTGCTGAGAAGCAAACCTGGGTCCTCTGCAAGAGCAGCCAGTGCTCTTAACCACTGAGCCATGTCTCCAGCCCCCATCTCTAATATCTTATGGTCTCTAATGCAGCTTGCTTTACATTCACAGCTTCATGCACAGCCTACTCAGGGCTCCCTGTAGGGAGTCCAAACCTATAGCATATTTCCTGGCCTCCCAGGCTTTTCTTTAAAATCTTGAAGTCTTATAATTCTTGCAATCTGTGTGCCTGAAAAACCAGTGCCATGCGGATGATGCCAAGTTCTGTTACCAGTTCAAGATATAACCAGGTCCTCTTAGACCACGGCTGCAGTGGCCTCTTAATACCTTAATGCTGAACTTAGAAAAACACTTCCCTCAGCAGCCTTTTCCACCAAGGCACCCTGGGTACTCTCTTTTCAGGAATTATTTTCTAAGGAAACTGACATACAATGGAGGGTTCAGTAAGTCAGGTCTTGCCCACAAGGCATCTTTCCTATTTTCCCTGTGCCAAATGCTTTAATGGCACAGATCTCTTAAATAGTTACTATGCCCCTTTTGTATTTGATTTGTCTGCAATTCTGAGTGCATCTGTGTCAAATTGCACATTTTCTGATCAAATTATACATTTTTCACATCATTTTGTTCCACTTTTTCTCTGAATTCTCACTTTAGAACTGCCTAAAGGCAGCCAGCAATAACCACAGAACAGCCTGAATGTTACACTATTTTGACATTTCCTCCTCCAAGTAAATTATTCCATTACTTTTGAATTTTAAATTCAGGCTTAACCTTTTATGATACAGGCAAAACACAAACTCTTTGTCAGAATATAACACAATGACCACTAATCCAGTTCCCAATAG